AATAAATTTATAGAGTATAGAATAGTGTTAAGTCAATAATATTAACGGCTTAATATATTAAAAGTTAGTATAACTAGATTAAATTTAGGGATAACTTGGGGAACTTTTAATTAGGGCTTAAAAAGAAGAGTATGATGTGAATGATTTATTAAATTGTTTTGAATGATTTAAAACAATGTATTTGTAATTTTGATGTAAGCTTTGTAAAACACGACATGCATCAGGAAATTGTAACAGCTTGTTTAGAACGTGTTCGTCTTGTGACGGTCTTGTGATGCATGATCTGTAAAGCATGGAATCTGTATGCCCCAAGCAGGTAATTATTACACTGCTGGAGGGTCTAAAAAATGGTATATAAGTTGGAAAAAGTTTGAATAAAATCGGCTTCAGTCTTGGCCAGACTGTTCCCAGAAGAGCTGCCTCCGAGTAGTTTTCTTCTCTCCGTCTCTGATTCACCGGTGCGGTCCTAACCCTCCCTCTGGTCAGTGCAAGACACCGACAGTAGATCACTGATATCATTTGGGGAAAGATAGGCCAAATATATTATCATCAAATATATTATACTGAGGATGGGGATAAGATACATCTCCTTCTTGTCTTAAGGGCAGTGAATCAAAGAGAAGGAAATTGGTTCTCAGGAAGTTTATGGACTTTTTCTTTTCAAATGGTTTTATCCATAAACAAATAGCTTTTAAATAGAAATCTCCCACTTTGCTGATAGGAACATCAGCAACTTTCAAGAAGGGCTACTAGGTGGTATTTATCAAAAGACAAATGATAAGTGCTTATACCCTTGGGCTCAGCTATTCCAATTCTGGGAATTTATCTCACAGGTATACTTGTAAATATGTATGTTATTCACTTACAGTATTGTGTGTAATAGCAAAAGCTTGGAAACAACCTACGTTTCAATGGAAGATCAAATATATCATGATATACCCACTAAAAGGTGGGACCATATAGAAATGTAGATATTCACAGAAGTTGGCAATACAGGTTACATGTGAAAAGGATACCAGGTGGTTGTGAGACGGTTGTTGAGAGGAAGACATTTCACTTATGTCCTTTCATACTTTATGGATGTTAAACTATGTGAATGTATTAATTTTATAAGACAGGAAATAAAACTTTTAAATTAAATATACCAATACAATGAACAATTGAGAAATAAAATAATGAATTTAAGAGTCAGAAAGGGCCGGGTGTGGTGGCTCAAGCCTGTAATCCCAGCACTTTGGGAGGCCGAGGTGAGCAGACTGCCTGAGCCCATGCGTTCGAGGGCAGCCTGGGCAACTTGGTGATACATCATCTCTACAATAAATCAAAAAATTAGCAGGGCATGGTAGCACACGCCTGTAGTTCCGGCTACCTGGAAGGCTGAGGCAGAAGGATTGCCTGAACCCAGCGGGTCAATGCTGGGGTGGCAGTGAGCATGCCACTGCACTCCAGCCTGGGTGATAGATTAACTGAAAAAAGAAAAGTCAGAAAGGTTATAGTTCAAGCTCACCAGTCAGCTTCCCTCCTCTGTGACCTTAACCCTCCTAAGCCTCAGTTTTCTCGTCTATAAGACAAATTAAACTAAAATAAAATCTGAGTAGTATATCTCTCTTCTTTATCCTAGAAGTCATGACTGTGAAGTAACTAACACAATTTCATTTTTCCTAAACAAGTCCAGAGGGGATATAATGTCACTTTATTTGATCCTAAAAGACAAAGCATAGAATATAAAAATTAAGAATATTTGTGAATTTTTTTTTTTCTGTTAGTGTACAGCAGAGAGATTTAGCTCAAGAAACATGTTGCCTGGATGGTGGCAATACCATAGAATGCCACTGATCAAGTGTCTGGCTGCCAGGGCAGCTAATCATCCCACATTAGGCCAAATTTGTCACTGAATCCTTTCTCAGACCAACCCCAGGTAGGCCTCTTGCTCTCTTCAGTGTTACCTCAGTCGCCCAACAGCTCAAGTACCTATCATTTCACCCCAAGTCTTGGGCAGCCCTAGGCTAGTATATTAACCAAATGGCCAGAGGAGGCCACTGTTGAGCTAGTCTGTGGAGAGAGCAAGAGTTACCCATTCTTTTACCAGAGGGCCACTGGCCAGGATAACCACACCCCTGATTTACATGTGTTGTCTCAGCATATTAGTAAGAGCAACCCCTTTTCACTTCCCAAATTGGCCTGATCTGGACTATAAATCAGATGGTTGCATTACTGGTGGCTACGTAACCGTATGACCTTCAGGCAGAACAAACTTGGGCTTCAATTTATCTTTTTTGATATGCTCTCCCAAAAACCTGCCACAGAACATTTTATCCCTAACACATTTCTGCTGCCCTTCAGATACTCCCTTTTTCTTCCTCTGAGTTAAACATATTGCTGATTTTTTTTTCCTGCCTTCCAAAAGATTACAGGGATCCCAAAGTGCTGGGATTATAGGCGTGAACCACTGTGCCTGGCCTCTATATCTAAACACTTTTACAAAATAAAACGATTAGGCTGTGCCCGGTGGCTCATGCCTATAATCCCAGTACTTTGGGAGGCCAAGGTGAGAGGACTGTCTGAGCCCACGGGTTCGAGACCAGCCTGGGCAATTTGGCGAGACCTCATCTCTACAATAAATCAAGAAAAATTAGCTGGGCGTGATGGCGCATGCCTGTGGTTCCAGTTACTTGGAAGGCTGAGGCAGAATGATCACCTGAGCCTAGCCAGTTGAGGCTGCTGTGACTTTGAGCATGCTACTGCCCTCCAGCCTGGGTGACAAAGTGAGACTCCAACTCAAAAAAAAATAAAATAAATAAAAAGATTCTTTGGAATTAATCTCTCTTTTATTTATTTATTTTTTTTTGAGTTGGAGTCTCACTCTGTTGCCCAGACTGGAGTGCAGTAGCCACTCCCGGCCACCGCAGCCTCGACCTGCTGGGTTCCGGCGATCCTTCCGCCTCAGCCTTCCAAGTAGCCGGAATTACAGGCATGCGTTACCATGCCCGGCTGATTTTTTGATTTATTGTAGAGATGAGGTCTCGCTGCCCAGGCGGGTCTCGAACCCGCGGGCTCAGGCAATCCACTCACCTCAGCCTCCCAAAGGCGCAGGATTACAGGCTGAGCCACCGAGCCCAGCTTAATCTCTTTTTTTGAGAATCTCCAAACCATAATCCATATAGCCAAGATGTAGGCAACAGGCAGGTATTGGGATCCTTATTCTGATACTGTACGACATCATTTCTATTCATATTTCACTACTCTTCAGTTACAACAGAGAGCTAACATACTAACACAATTAAGAAGTAATCACAAATATACTGTATATAGTGGAAATGTACAGATTAGTGGCTGTAACTGCCTCTTATTCCTTGGTATTTGCCTAAGTATAGCCCTACATTTACAGAGTAGAGAGAACACTTACTATATTAATCTGAAGACCTGAGAAAGGACTGGAAGAACTGGAACATTTACAGGGAAGTAAGAACATCGGCCTACAGGACTTTGTATTCATAACAAATACTCTTGGAAGTTTCTATTTATGGTGACCCTAAAACTAATTGCCCAAATAGTATCTAGAATACATATTAATATGTATGATGTACTAATAGAATACATATTAATAATTTATGCAATCAAAAATTGCTAATTGGTGATATAAATTAAGCTTTCAAATAAAGAGTATGGGCTTTGATAATAATAAAGCAAATATTTTTTAAAACCTAGAAAATTATAATATCAGTAAAGATAAAATTAAGTTATGAGCATCTCTCAACTTGAGATTTTTTTCCCCAATTTTTTGTAGAGACAGTCTTATTGTGCTACCCAGGCTGAACTAGAACTCCTGGCCTCAAGTGATCCTCCCACCTTGGCCTCCCAAAGTGCTGGGATTACAGGCATGAGCCACCACACCCAGTACCCAACTTGAGAAATTTTTATTCTCTATCAATCAGCAGCATCATAGCTAACTGATAGAACTTAGAGAGATTATGTGAAAATTTCTGAAGACTATGAAAAATGTGACAGCGTGACATATTATCTGGTCCTTCATAAAAGCAGACAAGATTATAATGTAGCTCAGGCTAATATCTTATTCTTTCTGTTTCACTATATCTCATAGCTATGAAAACAGCCCAGGAACAAGTATATAATGAGAAAAAAAATGAAATTTTATAGAGTGGAGTTATCCTTCTAAATAGAACATTAAGGGCAGATGAGAACTCCTCCCCTCAACAGCCTTTACAAGTAAACTGAGGGAAATATATAGAGAGAGTAGGTATGTATTTGATAAATACAATGGAATGCTAAAAATAATGATAAAACAACAGAATAATTAAGTAGGTATTTACTTACAAGGAGTTCCTTTGCTGGCTTCTTCCATGGTTACCCTGACATAGGGCTTACTATAGTCAACTTCAATTTCATCAGAAAAAGGAGCTGGTTGCCGTAAGCCCTTAAGAGGAAAGTAAAGGTAAAAAAAGTTAAATTTAATGGTACGTACTGAAATACTCTGAAAAACTCAGCTTTAAAGAACAATCAGTTAATTCAACATGCTGTGACTAAAATTCCTTCTAAAACATTATAACATGGAAAGGGGGGAGGGAAGTATTCCAAAATGACAAGTGAAAGTTTTAACCTCTTACCAAATGGGTAAATCATGGCATGAAAAATAAATATCTTGTGATTTCAGGTTAAGACCAAGCAATCTGGCTGGGAATCTAAGCACAGTCACAATTAACTGGGTCCAGAATGATGGCTCCCCTCTGTTGACAAGGTTCAGAAGTGCATGCTCAGACCACTCCAGTTAGGGGACTAGCAAGGCAAACAGTGCCTGGAGGCTTTACTAAGTATAATTATCACTGTGTAATGCTTTACACTGTAAATATGTTCTCATGCTCATAAAAGCCCTGTGAGGCAAGACATACTATAATTAGTAGCCTCAATTTAAAGATGAGAGAAACAGGGTTTAGAGAAGTTATATAAATTGTAGATAGTACAGTTATTCAGAGGCAAAACTGAAATAAGAGTGCTGGTATGTGGGTTTCTCTACGCAGGGTTTAGCTTAAGAGTTTTTGTTAAATTTATTCCTAAGTATTGTATTCCACTTGATGCTATTGTGAATGGAACATTTAAAAATTATTTTTACCTTTTCAAGACAAGTCAAGTGCAGTAATAAGAAGGGGGGAGAGAGTAGAACAAGGATTTTAATTTGTAACCGACTGTGAACAATCAACTGAGATAACTCACTACCTTTGGACCAGCTGGAATTGTTTTCTTAATTTTATTTTGGATTGTTCCTTACTAGTAGATAGTAAGTGCAATTGATTTGTGTGCGTTACTGCAGTTTCCTGTATATTTATCTTATGTCCTACGACTTTGCTAAAGTCAAGTAGTACTAGTTGTTTTTTTGTAGGTTCCTTAAGATTTTCTACATATGAAATCACGTCATCTGTGACTAAAACGGTTTAACTTATTACTTTCCAATCTGGATATCTTTTATTTATTTGTTTGTTTTTAGAGATGTGGTCTCACTCTGTCACCTAGACTGGAACTCCTAGGCACAAGCGATCTCCCTGCCTCTGTCTCCCTGAGTAGCTTGGACATAAACATCCACCACCATACTTACACTTGGCTAATTTTTAAAAATTTTTTCCAGAGATGGGGTCCTGCTATGTTGCCTAGGCTGGTATTTTCATTTACTATCCCTTATTGTACTTGTTAGAATTTCTAGTGCAACACTGAATAGAAGTGGCAAGGACAAATATCCTTCTCCTGTTCTAAGTCTTGGGGGTAGGGGTGGGGAGCATGCAATCTTTCACTATTAAATACATTATTAGCAATAGGTTTGTTTGTTTTTTAGTTGGAGTCTCACTCTGTCGCCCAGGCTGGAGTGCAGTGGTATGCTCATGGCACCTCAACCTGCTGGGCTCAGGTGATCCTTTGGGCTCAGGTGATCATTTCGCCTTAGCCTTCAAAGCAGCTGAAACCACAGGTATGTACCACCACCCCTGGCTAATTTTTTAATTTATTGTAGAGGTGAGGTCTCACCATTTTTCCCAGGCTGGTCTCGAACCCTTGGGCTCAGGCAATCCTCTCACCTCAGTCTCCCAAAGTGCTGGGATTACAGTCATGAGCCACCGTGCCTGGAAGCTATAGGTTTTTTGAAGATGTCCTTTATCATGTTCAGGAATCTCTCTTACTTCTACAGTTTGTTGACAGTTTTAATAATAAATGGGTATTAAGATTTTCTGGATCTATTGAAACAATCATATTTATTCCTTAATTTTATTAACTATGGTATATTATATTAATAGATTTCTAGGGTGTTAAAGCAACCTTACTCTCCTGAGTAAAACCCTTGTTGGTCATATTTTTTTATTTTATTTTATGTTTTTTTTTTGAGTTGGAGTCTCACTCTGTCGCCCAGATTGGAGTGCAGTGGCCGTATAAATCTTTTTATATGTTCTTGTATTTAATTTGCTAATACAGTGTTAAGGATTTTTTTTTTTTTTGAGTTGGAGTCCCACTCCGTCGCCCAGGCTGGGGTATGGTGGCACACTCATGGCCACCCCAGCGTCAACCTGCTGGGCTCCAACGATTCTTCCGCCTCAGCCTTCCAAGTAGCCGGAATTACAGGCATGCGCTACGACGCCCAGCTAATTTTTTGATTTGTCATAGAGATGAGGTCTCGACAAGTTGCCTGGGCTGGTCTCGAACCTGCGGGCTCAGGCAATCCACTCGCCTTGGCTTCCCAAAGTGTTGGGATTACAGGCTGAGCAACCGAGCCTGCCCAAGGATTTTTATGTTTAAGTTTGCGTGGGATTCTGAACTGTAGTTTTCTTGTAATACTTTTGATGGCTTTGATATCTGGCCTCATAAAATAGGCTGGGAAGTATTCTCTTTGCCTCTATTTTCTCATAGTATTTGCGTTAAATTGGTATTATTTCTTCCTTAAATGCTTGATAGAAATCACCAATGAATGGGGACCAAAGGGAGGCCCAAACTTTGCCTTTATGATAACCACTTGTATACCTAATCCTGTATATACACATCTTTATTTATCTTTTTGAGTTGGAGTCTCACTCTGTAGCCCAGGCTGGAGGGCAGTGGCACACTCATGGCCACTGCAGGCTCAACCTGCTGGGCTCAGGCAATCCTTCTGCCTCAGCCTTCCAAGTAGTTGGAACCACAGGCATGCGCCACCATGATCAGCTAATTTTTTGATTTATTGTAGAGATGCGGTCTCACCAAGTTGCTC